GCCTGGCCCTGTATTTCCAAAACAAAAGTGCCACTCCTTCCAGTGCCCTGGAGCACCGTCACCCTGCCGCAGTGTCACCGCTTCCCATCTCCCATCAGACATGCCAAGAGTCAAAACAGGAAAAGAAAGAAAAAAAAGAAAAGAAAACCCCAAGAACAACTTCTGCTGTGAATGCTCAATACTGAGATTACACAGGTCGGGTAAATGGGATTCAGCATCTCGCTGGTGGGCTGCCTGCGAATACCGGCAGGGACTCAAAGTGGTTTAACAGCCTGGGTGAAACGAATTCATTCCTTTGCTGTGGGATCGGGTCCCCAGTGTTACAGCGCTGGCCACGAGGCCCCGAGCCCACCCGTGACCGAGGGATGCTCCTGCCCCGGGGCTGCCGGGCTCCGAGCACGTTTCGTCTGCTGCGGGGCACAGCCTCCCCAGAGCAGAGCTCTAAACGACGGGGAGCACCCGGGTGCACATCTGGGCGAACATCTAATATACCTAAGCATCATTCAGCTGTCTGGTCTCCTGGCTGTCAGTCTCAGCAGGTGAGCACAGTGCCCAGTACGGCTCTTTTCTTCCTTTTAAAGCAGCCATCTCTGCACCTGGGAACGCAAAGGTTGCAGCTGCTCAGTGGAAAGCAGCACTTTCCTCACTCATGGCAACTTCCTATCTGCAATAAGAGGGGAAAAAAACCCCCCAAAAATAGAGAAAAAAGGCCCCTCCAGGAATTTAAAACCCCGTCACTCTCCAAAAGCAGTATCACTCTCCAAAAGCAGTATTAAGTTTATTTGAGAGGAAAGCGACGGTGCATGTCTCATCCAGCACTGTGCTCCAGCACCGCTGCTCTTGTAAAACAGCTGCCTCGGGTGAAGCCTCAGAAACGCTGAGGCTAATGGAGAACTTCGTTACCAACTCTCCTTCGCGCTGCTGTCTTAGTGGAACTTTCCATCTCTGGGGCTGGGAAATCAGAAAAGGAGTGGTTTGCCTTGAAAGGTCAACTGAGATGCAGCACGGAGTTAGGAGCAGTGTAAATTAAGAGGAGAACTGAAATCACTTGCAATTCTTGCAAAGAAACCACTTTTTAATTAGTTTCTGAGTCAGACTAAAGACAATACGGTCTAAAAAAACATGAGAGCAACTTTTTTTCTGCTCATCTCTTCCATCTCTCTGCCCCTTTTCCCTCCCTGTCAAAGGGAAAGACAGACCTAAACTCACACCCACATGTAAAACTGAACTGGAACATTTCCCCACGGACAATAAAACACAGCCTTGTCCACAGCTTTTCTTCTATTTGCATTGAGCACTGTTACACAGAAGGGGACACTGAGTCTAGTGAGTAACTTACAATGGGCTTTACGTGGGCTGGGACTCAACCCCAGAAACGGAAATTAAAGAGCTGGAACACACAAAGATCTCATCCCTACATATGTATGTTAAATTTATAGTTCAATTATTTCTTTATCAGTGCCAGGATGAAGCCAAGAGAGGACACCCCAGCTGGTAACGACAGTGCCATTCTGCAATACCTTCCACTCGAGGAGCAAAGAACAAAACACCACGACTGAGCTCCCAAAGACCCCTTACCTCCAGGCTGCTCCCCGAGAGCACCCACCCTGCCCCAGCCCGACAACTCGTCCCCTGGGGCAGCAGCTACTGAGTTGTCACAACCGACAGGCTGACACACTGAGGGCAACCAAGAAAGGGGACACGCTGCCTCCAAACAGCAGATTATAAGCTGGGGCAGCTCAGCTATTGCCCCACAAGAGTATAAGCCTTCCGTGCAACAGGAGATCTTCACGGACATCTCCAACATGATGATTTTCATCAGTGGTGGAGTCCGACACCAGTCGCAAGCGCTACTGCAGCGGTGCTGATGTGCCTTGCTGAGGGGACAGTCCCTTAAATCTCATTCCCGGCTGCAAGCTACCTGAATTTCCTGGCTCATCCTGGACACAACAAAAGCGTAAGTTTGTATGCAGGGGTGTAACTCGTAAAAGGCCACTCAGAGAGGCAGCAACAGAGCTATGGTATGTGCTAACACGGTTCAAATGGGGATCTGATACCGACCTCAGTATCAGTACCCGTCTGAGTCAAGGGGGAGTAAAAAGAGGGGAAAACACAGTAATTCACACCGAGTCTTTGGCCCAAATAGCACCTTTAGTCAATCTTTGGACCTGCAAGTTCAAGCCTCTGAAAGTTTTAGATCCCAGGATCAATATCCACAGATAACCTGCCAAGGGGATTTTCCCAAAGGGAACAAAATCCAGAACAGATCTGTCTTCTGTTAAAGGCCATGGCTCCCATCAAACACACAACCAGTCCGCTGCAGCAGCTCAGCCTAAACTAGAACCCAGAAGCACCAGCAGACCTGTGCAGATTCCCATTCCCATGCATCATAGCATGGTTTGGCTTTGAAGGGACCTTTGAAGGTCACCTAGTCCAACCCCCCTGCCATGAGCAGGGACATCTTCAACTAGATCAGGGTGCTCAGAGCCCCGTCCAACCTGACCATGAATGTTTCCAGGGACAGGGCATCCACCACCTCTCTGGGCAACCTGGGCCAGCGTTTCACCACCCGTCATTGTAAAAAATTTCTTCCTTATATTTAATCTAAATCTACCCTTTTAGTTTAAAACCATTACCCCTTGTCCTATCGCAACAGGCCCTGCTAAAAAAACTTCTCCCCATCTTTCCTGTAGGCCCCCTTTAAGTATTGAAAGGCCACTATAAGGTCTCCCCAGAGCCTTCTCTTCTCCAGGCTGACCCCCCCCAAC